GTGTGTGTGTGTGAATGGTGTGTGTGTGTGTGTGTGCGTGTGTGTGTAAGTGTGTGTAAGTGTGTGTAAGTGGGATTGTGTGTGTGTGTGTTTGTGTGTGTGTGTGTATGAGTGTTTGTTTGTTTGTTTGTTTGTTTGTTTGTTGCTGTTGTTGTTTTTTTGTCTCGTAAACTGATTGGTTAATTGCCTTTCAATAGTTGTGTAGAGTTTGAACGGAAAAAGTTACACATTTTGATACGGTGAATGTTTTTTGTTCTCAGTCTCTTTGGCAGGGGCCACATTTAGTAAAAATGTCTAATTTATGGAAAAACAAGGCTAGTATTGTTGTTAGTCTTGTATTAGAGAAGATTTCATTTAACCTGATCCTTTTTATATTTGTTCTCAAAATGTTAAACATTATTATCTCATTAGTAGTAGTAGTAGTAGCAGCAGCAGCAGCAGCAGCAGCAGCAGCAGCAGCAGCAACAGTATCATTATTATCTTTACTATCATTATTACTGTTATTGTTATTGATTCTATTGAATGGGAGGAGCTTGTATGTGGCCTATACCCTACCAGGGGGTGAAAGGCATTGATGATTATGATGATGATTAAGTATTGTTCATCATTATCAGTGTCTTTCACCCCTGACAGGGTATAGGCCGCACCCCCCCCCCTAGGTAATCAACATCATCAATGCAGCACAAGAGAACTCCCCGCTCACCGTGGCTCAAGCCCTGGACAAAGTCCTAGAGATCCTCCAGACGAGTGAGCTCTACTCTCCCTTCCAGACCCAGGACATCCGGCCGGACGATGACCCCGTGGCCTCAGACCTGGTCGATGGTCTCATGTCGGTGAGTGCGGGCAGCAGTTTTTGGACACTCTCAGGGTGGGGCAGACGTAGAGTTATTGTTCACCCTTGTCCGAGAAGGCTAGGTGTAGATTTTTCCTACTAGAAAATCAGGAGTGTGGCTGAAAGACAGCAGTAAGAAGGAGCCAGGGTGTAGCAGTAGAAAGGCCTCAGAAAGAGTCAGGGGCCCAGAGGAGGGGGCAAAGGAGGTGAGGGAGTGGGAGCAGAAAGTGGAGACGAAAGCAGACAACAGAACATTGCTA